CACCCCCCCCCATCCTCATCACCAGTCGAAAAAGCCACCTCTATCAGGTATCATAACATAAAATCTTCCGGTGAGGGTGGGACATCGCTCGTGCGAGGGTATTTTTTTGTGTGCCGGGGTGCCTTCATGCGATACCCTTGTCCGAACGGGATTTGCGTGGTGTATGGTGCCACCCGGTTGTTCCGCCGTACTGTACAGTACAATATTCTATTGTGGATGCTAATATATGGAAATTGGAGTCATGGACTGGGGAGGGGAGGGGAGGGGATGTGTTTTTTTTTGTTTTTTTTGTGTGATTGTGAGATACGTATGGAATACCCGTCAGGGTATCACCGGTTGGTGGAGGGAGGGAGGTGGAAGCACTACGATATTCTTATTGTCAAGTCTCCACGTGCTTGGGGGGGGGTAAGGTGGTGATGGTTTGAAAAGTGTCGTTTGTTTCTGATGATCATGTATTGCGCAGGGCTCTAGGGGGCACGGGTTGTCTTTTCCGGTGTTTGGTCGTCACCCCCACCATGCTGAGTATGTGGGGATTTGCTGTTTGCTTGCTTGACAGCGGTTTCTGGCATTTTGTTGCTGTGTGCTTTGGGTGTTTTGATACTTCCCTCATTCTCCCCTTTCGACTTTGCGCAAAGTTTGCGCCTCTTCGGCCAGTTTGGAGCTCTATCACTCCCCATGGGCCAAAGTTGACCTGACCGGTGGATGCATTGGGTGAGATTAAGGGGATGGGATGAAAAAATAGAAAGACAAAAGAGAAAACGGGATCTGTGTTCCCGTCTTTATCTGCGGTGGCCGACCTACGGCGGGTCCACAAGGAATTGCACGATTGAGGTTCGCTGTTAACTACTCACTCACTCACTCAAGCCTTCTTCTGTACAAAGGATTATTTCGCACACACTCGAGACTACCGACTGGATACAGTTGTTTACGCCTCTTGCAGAAAAGCCCCATCCAGTCATTTTTGCCGTATGATAACGAACTCAACTTGTGTTCTTCCCATCGCTCTGGCCATTCCCGGTAACTTCACTCCGGGCATGGACTAGTGTGCCTTGCTCAAATGTGATGCGACCCATATCAATGCCCCAGGATTATCACAAATAATCACTCGCAGCGGTGAATATTCCCACAGTACAAGTATCATTTATCCTCCCGGGTGAAAGAAAGCTACGGCTTCCTCCACACCCCCAGGCCATTTCTGGAATACCCCCCCTCTGCTCACATCTATCTGTGATACAAGTGCTCCCTCCCCCCAGGTACGCCTTATGCTGGTTTTATACACCCCCGCCGACTCATTTTCACACAAGTGCTGTTGGCACACAGGCCACAGCGTACCAGAGCACACCTACTATTACTATCTGGGTTCAAGGGAGGTTCAAGATTATCCAGAGCGAGTTTTTATTTTTTTATTATTATTTTTTTCCCTCCAATATCCAAGAGCTCGTTGGTGTTCGCGGCAAGTTATTTAGAAAAGAAAAAAAAGGTCAGGAGGAATCGTACTTGTATGATTCGAGCTCGCGCTTGGGAGTATTATCACTGACTTACACTAGTTTTTTTTTTTTTGGATGGGTGGGTGAGTGAGTGGGTGGGTGGGTGGGTAGGTACGTTTCCGCTCGGGCCAGCCGTGGAAAAGCGAATTCGGTGAGAAGATAACGCAGGCCCTTCTTACATGTTTGCCTGGAGGAATAGATTTGGATAGCGGGATTGTGTTTTTTTTTTGCTAGGCGGGGTGGTTAACTGGCTTGGTATGATATGATATTATGGTACCCGTTCCGAGTGTGTTCGTTTGGTATCACACGTACTGTATGGTTCAAGGATCTATCGCTTTCGTAAATGATATCATGATACTTGTATTATCGTGTTGACTGATTATTATTATTTTTTCTAAAAGAAGGATTGCGAGTGATCAAGCATGACTGTTCCTAAGAATGATATGATATCTCCTTTGGGGGTGTCCAAAAAAAACTGGAGGGGAGGTTAAGCTAGAGGAGAGTGCCAAAATGCCCCACAGCGCAGATTTTCTACAACTTGATCTGGTATGATATCAATCATAGAAATTCCAATGACGGAATAATCTCATGCGACCACTCGACGATACAATTTTTTCCTATCATAGGAAATGAGATAATGGGATTTACCGGCTATGATACCAAACCCCCCCCCCCCCCCCGCCTCCACGATAGAAACGGCTTGCCAGGGGGTCTCTCCTTTTTCGTAGCCCTGGCGAGCGTCAACAAGTATCATACGATGTGATAACCGAGAGAGTGTGAGAAATCTAAAGCCCAACATTAATTCCGGGTCCCCGAGAAACTGGATCACAAGCACAGGCCACCCGGCCATTAGAACTACCGTATCATATCAATCAGTTTCACCTGAGCCGGGGGATGGATAGGTAGATAGATAGATAGATAGGGGAAGTTCCATTCCCACAGGGAAGACCAAACGGTTTCATATTCTCCCTTGGAATAACAATGCACAACTTTGGAACTCGAACCCTTCCCCCTTCCTCCCATGATGGGACCCTATCGCTCCAAGTGTATGTATGTATGTATGGATCCCCAAAAACTTTACAATGTGATACTGACTCGCTTCCATGACCTTTTCTACGATACGTTATGGGTAGGTTAAAGTTGATGCACACCTGAAAAGGTTAAGACCGGCAGTTTCCGGGGTCACCCCCACCAGATCACGACGCGATGACAGATTTTAGATACAAGTACCGGTAGATGGATAGATTGATTGATTGAGCCCCCTTCCTAGGGTCCATTTTCGCCCTGATGGTAAGGGGGTGGTAGATTCATCGCTGGAAGTTAAAAGGGGGAAAATCTCGAGATGGTTATCCCGTGATTGTGGCATACCGGTATTCGCTTTTTTTTGTGGGAAGGTGGCATGGTACGGTACTCGAGTACCTTGACTTGCAGGATTCCTGTGACAGAGGCTTGCCATGCCGGTGCCTCTTTTTTTCCCGTCGCGAGTTTATTGTACCGTGCAAAGTAGGAGTAGGAGTACCTAAAGGCTACGGCAGGGTAGAAAAGAAAAAAAAAGAAGAAGACTTGTACTTGTATCTTCCTTCCTCTCCCGTCCCGGTAAAAGCCAGTTATGGCTTTTGTGGCGTACTGTACAATACCGCACGTCCGTGACATCGTGCATAGGGGTAGTAAATTCCAACGGTGCGAGGGGCAGATCCACATCCACCAACGGCGAACCAGCGATGCATGGCCAGATTAGTACTTGCACGATGTCAAGCTGGATCGGGAATATCCCACCTTCTTTCCTTTCTACCGGCATCATCCACACATCTTTTCCCCCTTCCGAGCGTCGGTAGATACAACTCTGCAGAAATCGAGCGAGTCGTGGACAAAGCTCCACACTGCGCCGTTACCGTACTTGCACAACTGTACTGTACGAGTACTGTATCTCGAATATGTCGGTAAAAGGAGGTGGGGGAGGAGGGATTTCCTGTCCGACCGGATGTCACCATTCTCTCTCACTTTAGCCCCCGGTTCCACGACAGTTAGGTAAAGCACGACTGGTATGATACTTGTACCGGTATTGTAGAAGCCCCCTTCCCCTCGTTGACAGCAGTTTGGCCAGGTACACAGAAAAGGTGATTCCATCTCATATTTCGGTACGGGTTCTGCAGGTTGCTGTACTCGGCCGTTTGCAAAGTATCCGGACGCTTGGCGCTAAGATTGGTATTAATCGACACAGGACGTCCGGATACTTTCTACTGAGAGATGGTCAGGTACAGCACTCTGCTCGAATACTGGAGTACCGGTACCAGTACAGCGGGATAACCCGTTCCACAACACTTTAGTTGCTACACTCTGCTACAGTTGTACTAGCACGGTACGAGCCCAAGAAAAAAAAGTACTCGTGTGCTTGAACGAAATTCCCCCACTCAAGTATCGGTCTCGACCTTCCACCCACTGGTAAGCGTTCAGAGAACGAACGTTGGTTGGTTGGTCTTAACGCATACAAGTATACACCGTACCACATTCTCAAAAACGGGGCAAGAGGGCGAAGCATCATCGCCTCTACATACGGTACAAGTACTTGTACTCACATTCCGTTGGCAGTGGACCCGCCCGCTAGCCCTCCTTTAGCGAAGACCAGTTCATGCTGACTGTTGTCGTCGCTGTCCAAGTGCAAAAATAAAGATTACTCGTACGGTAAGCGCGCGGGCGAGAAGAGACGGGCAGGCAGAAAACTGCACGAACTCAACGGGTGAAACGCTAAAGCACACATCTACCCCGGAATTTTCTCACGCTCACCGTTTGAGAGATTGTTTATGATATTACATGGGAAAAAATAATAATAACATGATAATATACTCTATTCGGGACTTGACTGGCTTCCCGTTTTCCAAGTAATTTGTGAGGGGGGGGGATTCACGAAGAAATCCTCCCACAAGAAGTATAGACTAATTAACAGGTCTCGCTGGCGGACTGAATACGATGCAGACAAAGAAAAGAAAAAGAAAAAAAGAAATGGCAGAACCCATATGTACCCTGAAAAGCAGAAGGAAGGAAAAATAATGATAGCACCATACCGAACCCGACCCTACAAGCAACTGTCCCTATGAAGTAAAAAGAAGAGATGGAAAGGAAATTTTCATGAAGCCGTGACAGAAAAGAAACAAATTTCCCAAAATATTTATCCGAGAAGCGAAGGATGAGTGGGAAGTGAGGAAAAAAAAAAGAGAGAAAGGTGAATAAGTAATGATGGTTTTACTTTCTAGAAAACATCCTCTTCCAACCTGTTGGAGCCTTCGTGCTCTCACTCTCAAACTCGCTCTTTACGTTCCCCTTCTCCAGAGACGAGTCATCGAAACTACCGGCAGGGCTCGGGGCTCTGAGCCTAGGAGCCCTGTGAGGGATATCGCCCTGGGCGCCCACGGTGAACTCGCCCCTCGCATTCATGGAGAGTCTCGGGATGGTCGAACGTCTTCCACTCAACTCCCACTGTCTCCTCTTCCTGAGATACCACAGGACACTAGCGACCATCCCAGCCACGCCCACCACTACAACCGCCGAGATGATGCCGATTTGAGCCCCGACTGGAATGTTGACGAAAGTATCCGACTTCCCGGATGCCCCTTCATTGTTCTCCTCCTGCTTTGTCTCATCGATGATAGCGTTCGGATCGTTATCGTAGGATTGGCCCGGGGTCGATGGGTAGTATTGGGAGCTCTCGGAGGCGGGGTCGGGAACCGGCGAGGGTGTCGAGTCGAGAACAGGTGATGTTACAGTGATTACTGAGGGGACGGGGGTAGCTGTTGGGGCCGCCACAGAGTCCGATGTAATGGCCGGGTCTTGAGCCACGACAGTGGTGAGAGCCGTCAGGAGGCATAGTGCCATGATGCTCCTTCGAGGAATCATCTTGTAGGTGGTTATGAATGAAACGGGGAAAAGACTTGTGTAAACAGAGTACCGAATCCGAATAGTGAGTGGCTGTGGGGTACTTGCAGGATAAGGTAGTATATTCGCGCTGCGAGGATTCTAGCTTTCCTTATATGTTCGATATCCTGTACCGTACGGTTATAACTGACAATGAAATGGTGCGCAGGATAGACGCTTGCAAGGTGCTGTATCGTGATGGTGACAGGAAAAAATAGACTACTACTCAGGGGGGGGCAGGCGGGTGTTCTTTATGTACCTACCATTCGCCCTTGACACCCCCCTCCCACCCTCCTTACCCGCCACACACACCTTTTAGCCCTTTGTTTTTCCCTTCCCCACCCACCCCCCAAACTACGAGATCGTATCCGCACCGACAGTGCATGGCAAGCGAAGGACAGGCTGTGAAGATTGTTGGTTGCGAAGGGAGAGCGAATGGGTTGGTTGTACTCGAGTATGCGGTGCTACTATTGTTAGACGAGCCTTGGCAGGGGAAGAAGGACGTCCTTTCAGTGGCCAACGGTAAAGCGCCTTTGTTTCCTGCGAGACAAATATTTGTGAGATCCCCTCCCCCCCCCTCTCCCCTTCACCCTTTCCCCCTGCAATCCCCCGTCCTCCTGGGGACGAATAGAGATTCATTCCCTCCCCCATCATCACACACCTCGAGATACAGTAGCCTCCCAACCGTACCGGCATGTACGGTACCGGTAGCACTGACTAAACAACAAGTCCCAAATAAATCACGCACAGGACATAAATACCTTGAGACCACACATTTCCGGAACCGCTTCCGAAAATACTCGTGTGTGTGTGTCGAGTCCCCCTTTTGGGGCAACTTTCAAAGAGGAAGTTGGGGAAGAGGATTCTGCAAGGGAAGGAAGGATGGATGCCTTGGGAGTGTTCCTTGTGCTCGGGTACAACCGATGAATACGGTAGATTGAAAGATAAGGATTTACCTGTACAAGTACTACTATACCCATCCGACCTCACCCCCCACCCCGTGTGTTCCCCCGCTGCATTCCCCCGCTCCAACAAGTTATTAATGTTGGTTTTTTGGCAACTTCCTGCACGAGTACCGGTACCGGTACTTGTACTCAGTACGGTACGGTACTGTCCCCCCACTCGACGGAATGTGACATGACATTGTTGACAGCCGAAGCCGCGGGTACTTGTACAAGTACGGTACTCGTACAGTCCTGTTTTCAAATCCCCTAAACCCACGAGTACCGGCACTGTACGGTACACGAGTAGTTTGACTAATCTGACGGCGGTGAGAAGAACGATAGAAAAAAAGAAAGAAAAGAAAGATCGTATAAACGCTACCACGGCCTACCGTTAATCTGCCATAAGAGCAGGAGAGCATGGAATCGGACCCGCCAGGCTCAGTACTGGTGCAATACTAGCCACCGTCGTTTGTTCGACTTTGGTAATTCGCAAGACGAGATTGAACCCGGGTCTCGTCCATTCACAATGAATCACTCTAGGCGAGAGCAGCGAGGGCAACCGGGTTGATCGAGCTGGGAGATGTCGGGATAAAACACTCAGCGCCCTATCAGCGGCGGAGAAACTCCACGATAATTTCGCCATCTCGGCCCATCCCCGCCAATTCAATTCCCTCGTACCCGAGTACCGTAACACTGGCTTGTCATGTGTTCGGGTGCCTACATCTTCGCTGAGCAAAAAGGCACCCCCGCCGCTACCCTTGCGGGCTTGTTGGTTCCCTCATGGCAGGAACGGCGGGTGAGCGACAAGTGGGCCGCGTGATTGGCTACTATTTTCGTCTGTCCCAGCATAGATAATTTAGCGAGATTGGGATCTGCCCAGCCGTTGGCGAATAGATTCTGTAGTCTGAGATGGCAATGGACATGCTTCGGCTGATTCGGCTGAATGGGGGAACATCTTTATTTTTGACTGGAGAGGGCTATTCGACACCCGGATCGTCTTGTTGGTGTTTTGTCTGCTTGACCCCCCGGGCAACTAACAGAAACTCCCATTTTTAAATTCCTTCCTTCCCCCGAATCGGGTTGTCATCCATATAATGCAAACGGTGCGCTTTTTTAGACGATTAGCACTTTGAAGTACTTTTTGTCTCCTGCGCGTGATGATCGCTCGCGCTTTGTTTCGGTCCATTCTATTCTGACCGCCTTTTCTATTCTAGTTCAAACGCTCCACCCATTTCCCATTTCCCCATCTATCGCCCCCTCGCTTCCTGGGGATCCGGAGCCTCCATGTTGGATGGAAGCTCGAGTGAGAGAGAGTGATCCGGCCAGGGCGCAGCAGAGAGGTGTAATTGTGGCTTTGCTCACTTCACCGGCGTTCCAGAAGCCGCAGTTGGCCTGCGTCTTCGTCTACCCGCCCGCCTGCCTGCCTGCGCGCCCGAAGATGCACGCTACCTTCGTCGACTCGCTGTTCTGATTTACCGGTACGTTTTTTCCAAGTTTGGCTCGGATGCTAGTTTAGGGGGGTTGAGACTCCTGCATCATGGGTTTGAACGGGACATGGTCGGAATGGGATGAATGTCTACTGTGTTCCGAGGAAATGGGTCGTTTGGTTGACGGGTGTACTCCGTGCTGAGCAGTCTCGGGGAAACTGAAGAAATTGGGTACATAATCCCCCTCCCCCTATTACTACCTTATCTTCGATCGAGGGAAAGGACAAAAGAAAGAAACAAAAAAAAATGGCGCAGGGTAGGACTAATCACATACCTGTACCACTGAAAATCCCCCCCACATTTCAGGTACCGATACTAGTACCCTCCCCCCTCAACCCGACTGACTCCACACCCGTACCACGCCATCGAGCCCGACCCCCATCTCGTGACCACCAACAAAATAATCCTCCCCCTTGCGTCTGCTTGTACCTTGCTTAAGCACGAGCACTGTACTCGTACTCGAGTACTCGAGTACAGTACTAGTAACTATGCTCTGCAATCAGAATCACCGACCCGAGCTATATTTAATTTTTTTCTCAGTTACCGTACTGCCGTACTGTCACCCACACGCTGTTCTTGCATATCACAATACTATACTCGAGTACAGTACGAGCACCGGTACGTTGGCTGGCTATTGAGTGAAGCATGTTCGGAATACTGTACTTGTACGGGTCGTCGTGGCATCGTTCCTGGTCGCCCATGCTGCTATCTGGGCTTTGTCGCGATTGTTTCTTCAGGGTGCCGGAGGTATGCTCGGCTCGGGAGATCTGGACTCATATCACTGCGCACAGCTGGCTTCTATGGGTGCCGGCACAAGTGCGCCTGTCTCTGGCTCATGCAGCAGAAGAGGAATAGGAAATACTTCTCCTTACCGCTAATCTATCCCTCCCTGCGCCTTTCTCTACTTGTACCTACCGGTTTTTATTTTCTCTTTGATCTTTCACTTCGCGCACTTGACCCCCGACAGGCTTTCTGGGGCCGAGGGGTTATGCCCGTGCTTTGTGTTCCGGTGGCGTCCGTGGTTGGGCTGTTTTGTCGTGGGTGTGGTACAGTATGATACCGGTATCGGTTGACGGATGTTGCCCCTGGAACGGTCGGGGTGGCTTGATTGAGGTTGGAACGGGGGGAGGGAGTGACTGCGCGCCGTCCGTGCAGGGTCGCGACTGTTAGGGGTTCTTGGATTTGTTTGGGTGAGTTTGGTTCCTTTTGGAAGAGGAGTGTGTGCTCGAGTACCGGTACTGCACATGGCGGTGGATACGCTATGGAAATACCGGTAGCGTCTTTCACTTAACGTGGGCTTGGAGGGTTAACTTTCTATTAACGGTATGCTTTTCTGTCTCCTTTTCTCACTTCCAGTGCTCCTGGAACCGATAACGATTAACAGCTAACAGCCCCAGCACCCTAATGCCGTAGACACAGTTACACGGTCAGAACCCCATGTGGTGCTTTTTTATCGCTACATTTGCATGATGGAAGCTTACCTTAGCGTTTGGAATCAGGCGGCACTGCAAGCAGTCTCGTAAGTTTAAGAGGCTCGGATGGGGCCCTGCAGCCCACACGAAACAGAAAATTTTGTTCGTGATATGGGTTTTAGTCTTAGCTGCATTTATACTCGTCTTGATAGCACTCACTTGTTTTGGGTGGAAGTTTTCGTTTTAGAGGCGTGGGGTCGGGGGCGAATGTGCAGATGTTTTTGAACAGGCACAGTTGGTCGGATGGAGAGTGCGGGTGTCTTAACTGCTGACCGTGTTTCTCCCTTTTTTTACCCTTTTGATTGCTAAGTTCCACGGATTCGCGGTTTGAATTTCTAATACATTCTCTTATAGTGTAAATTAGGTTAGATTGTCTGTAGGAAGACCCCCCCACTACCGCCAGGAGTGAACTTCCGATCACGAATGATATATCATAGAACACCCACATTTGGGGCTCTATACAGATAAAATTACTTAATCCTTGAGTTCCCCTGGAACTAGACTTACTGAGGGCTTGCTTGGATAAAACCATACCGGCAATGTTCGGAGAAAGCGCCTTCTGGAACAAATGGCAAGCAATAATAATACAACAACCTGGGGTTATATTATAGAGCCCTGTGGCCTTTAAGTCCTATAGTTTTAATAATTCGATGGCAAGGGCAAAGGCAATTTTTGCGCTGCGAGTAGACAAGTAGACCGCTATCGAGATATGACAAGCAGTTTGTAAACTTTCCGGAAATACTCGAGATCAATAGAACAAGCAAGTCTGTGAAAACCTCACTCTAACCAGCATACTAACAACATAGGCACACTCCCTACGTCTTTACTTACGGCTCCCCTGACAATCCAAAGTAAAACCTTTCACTCTCAGACGGAACGGTCCTACCGAACTGAGGAGTATTCTCCCCCCTTCTTCTCCCAACCCCCACTAGATTCCGCCATACTTGTGTAGACAAAACGACAAATCCTGGTAGTACAGTATTCCTGGTAAGCGCTGCGATCCGCGACATCAGGTTTATGAGACCAAATAACAACCTATCATATAACCTCCCCCCGCCCAAGTGAAATAGATCACCAAATCTCACTCGGGTGTCGACTGTCTGCTGTGTTGGAAATAGCGGTAGATGGCCGCACTTGATGCGGGATGTGCTCATACATGAAGGCATCAGTAGCATATGTCTGCACCCCTGTAAGACGCGTATGCCATGCAAACTTTTCTCATCCCTGTCTTTTCTTTCCTTTTGTCTTTTCTTGCGAGTGAACATCTTCCTGTACTTTACCTCTCACCTCAAGT